GGTCTTGTGTGTGTTCTTTAAGTACTCTAGATATTCTATCATGTATATAGGGTTTTTTCTCATTTTTATAGCCTGTTAGTGTTATTTTCTGAGCCTCTAGAGTCGTTTTCAGAAGCCCTTGCCTATGCCCAGCACCTCCAAGTGTTTAGTCTTTTTTTAATTTTTATTGCTTTATAAATAATACCATTCAAAATTCCACTTCCTCCCCTCCTCCCATTTCCCTTCTGCTCCCCCACTCACCCTCCCCCCTCACCCTCCAGTCCTAAAAGAGGGCATGGCACCCTGCCCTGTGGGAAGTCCAAGGCCCTCCCCCTTCCATCCAGGTCTAGGAAGGTGAGCATCCAAACAGGCTAAGATCCCAAAAAGCCAGTACATGCAGTAGAAACAAATCCCAGTGCCATTATCATTGGCTTCTCAGTCAGCCCCCATTGTCAGCCACATTCAGAGAACCCGGTTTGATCACATGCTCTTTCAGTCCCGGTCCAGCTGGCTTTGGTGAGCTCCCATTAGATCAGGCACACTATCTCAGAGGGTGGACCAACCCTTCGTGGTCCTGACTTCCTTGCTCATCTTCTCCCTCCTTTTGCTCTTCAACTGGACCTTGGGAGTTCAGTTCAGTGCTCCAATATGGGTCTCTGTCTCTATCTCCATCCATCACCAGACTAAGGTTCACTCTGGATGGATCTCCTCAGTCCAAGTGTTTAGTCCTACAGCTCTTCGCCACTGACTTTCTCCACAGCCCCTGAGAGGAGCTGTCCATGTCTGTGGCAGGTCCGTCTTAGCTGTCCTTTGGCTGTGTCCCACAGAACTTCTTGCATCATATCTTCATGTACAGTATCCGATGGACTGTCTTACTTGGCATGGGCTTGGACCTATGCAGAGCTTAGGGAGTGTCCTTCCATCCTTCTGTTACTGGCCTATAGTTTAAGAGAATTCTGGTTGGAGACCATCTTCTGTTTAAGCCAGGCCTAGACAGATTGCTGTAGTAAACTGAGGAGAATTCTAGACATGACAATTAGAAATTGATGACAAAAGTTTCTGTTCCACCTGGTCCCACAGCCATTCAGTTGCAAATAAAAACAGAGTTTTGTATTAAGTATAAGCTATTTGGCCTATTGCTCAGACCTATTACTAAGTAGCTCTTACAAGTTAAATTAACCCATAATTCTTATCTATGTTTAGCCACATGGCTTGGTACCTTTTCTCATCCTGTTTCTTTTGTGTCTGGTTTGTGACTATGTCTCTGTCTTTCCTCTTCCCAGAATTCTCTTATTCTGGTCACCCTGCCTGTACTTACTGCCAGGCTACTGGTCAATCAGCATTTTATTAAACCAATATGAGTGACAAACCTTTACAGTATACAAGAGCATTATCCCACAGCATTAAATGGTTGGTGGAGGGTAATGTTGGGTTCCTCTGTATTTTTATGTTCTTGATAATTTTCAATCCAGTTTTCTATCATAAATGGATATTACAATTATCTAGTTCAGTTCTAGTTCAATAATCTTTTTGCCATATCTCTCCCTCCGTGGTCTGACTATATTATAAGACTGCCCCAACTTTTTGATGAACTAAACTTTCGTAGTATAAAGATCCAATCTGTCTCTAATAAATTTTTTCGTTCTGACATCTTTTTTATTCAGTCCCATACAGTCACTTTTGTTTTCCCTTAATTAACATTCACACAATGTAATTTAATAGATCTGTTTTTCCTGCCTTGTATGTAAACTAAGAATTGAGGGACTGAGGAAATGAGTCAGCTAGCTCATAAAGCCTTGCCACACACACAAGCCTGAGGATCTGAGTTCAAACCTGCAGAACCCAGGTAAAAAGCTAGAAGCAGCGGTGTATGCTTGTAATCCTGGTGCGGAGAAGGCAGATAGAACAAGATCCCTGGATCTTGCTGCTCAGCCCAGCTGAATCAGTAAACTCAGGTCCAGTAAGAGACTGTTTCAAAGAACTAAAGTGGAAAGCAACTGGAAAACATTGACCTCTGGCCTTCACATGCACATGTACCACACAGACATACAACACATACACAGACAACAGCAATAAGTTAGGAAATAGCATATCAAAACCTTAATTTCATTTGATTTTTTTTTTTACTTTTGATTGTCGGTTTTGTTGCTTCTGTGGTTCTTTTTTCTGTTTCCTACAAATGATTTGAACACCTCTTAGAATTTCAGTTTAATTTATGAATTATATTTTTAGTGTGGCCCTCTACACAGCTTTGGTAGTGCCGTTCCTAACATGTATACGCACACACACACACACACACACACACAGAGCTTACAAATCTCCTGGTGTCAGGAATTCATGGCTGAAGCAAAGCACCTGGGCCTGACCTCCCTGCTCTTCAGGCCTTCGTCTGCCTTGTGTGGAGCACACTTCCTCTCGCATCTGCCCTGTGTGTGTGTCTGCGTGCAGATGCATCATATTTTGTCATAATTTTGGTTTATTTATTTATTTATTTATTTATTTATTTATTAAAGACTTCTGTCTCTTCCCCGCCACCGCCTCCCATTTCCTTTCCCTTCTCCCAATCAAGTCCCCCTCCCTCGTCAGCCCAAAGAGAGATCAGGGTTCCCTGCCCTGTGGGAAGTCCAAGGACCACCCACCTCCATCCAGGTCTGATCATAAGAGAAAGTTTGGCAATTTACGGGAAGGATAGTCTATGTGTCAGCCGGCAAATCTTTTGGCAGTGTTTTTTATTCCTTTTTAACCCGACAAGGTTTCTCTTTTCCTGTTTTCCTTCCTGTTACTGAGGTGCTTTACGACACTTTACGACACTAGGTAAAGAGAGCTCTTGGGACCGCAAATGCCTCTCATTTTCCTCATCTGAGACTGTCCTGATTTCCCATCCATTGCTGACGAGCACCTGGACCATTACAGGGTTGGGAGCTGACAGTTCATTCTTCCCAGCACTTGAAAATTACATAATTTCCGTCTGTCACTCATGGCTTCTGGTGAGACATCTGCTGACATTCAAATTGTTTTTCCTTTGTAGAGAAGGTGCCATCTTTTCCTCCCGTAGCTTTGAAGGTTTTGTTTGCCTTCGTGTTTAGTCATCAAATTAGGCTGTGTCTGCACATGGCACCTTGTTTTTCTCTGCTTCCTGAACCTGTGAAGTCTTGCCAGTTGCCAAATTTCCAGGCTTGGGGGGATTGTTTTTTTTAAGATTTATTTTATTTTTAATGATGTACATATGCAGTGCCCATGGAGAAGAGAAGAGGGTGTCAGATCCTCCTGGAGCTAGAGTAGCAGGGGGTTTGTGGGTAGCTGATGCAGGTGCTGAGAAAGGAACTTTGTCCTCTGCAAAGGCAGAAGCTGTCTTAGCCGCTGAGCCGGCTCCCCAACCCCAGGGCATTATTTCTCCTGGTTGCCTTTTAGCCCCACATTCTTTCTCCCATCTTTCCAGGCATCATACAATTGCTAGAACACTTTACAGTCCTCGGGTTTTTGAGACTTTTCTCACATCTTTTCTGTGTGTTTTCTCTCCGTTACTCAGGCTGATTTCTGCTGTCCTACTGTCCAGCTCTTGTGGTCCCTTGCTAAGTAGCTCCACGTGATCACACACATTATGTAAGGTCTGCATTTGTCCATGGATGTGGATGTGTGTGGATGCCAGAGGACACTGTCTTTCACCTTTGGTTTTGACACAGGATCTCTTACTGTCCTGGTACTCACCTGCAAGTCCAGGACGCCCATCTCCACATCCTCAGTGCTGAAGTTGCAAGCACATACTGCCACACACATTCTCCCAGCCTGCCTCCTCTGACCTCGGGAGATCATTCTGTCTGATATGTAACTGGCAATGCCAATTGATTCAGGAGATGACACAGAATAACCCTGGGTTTTCCAGAGCTGCCATCTACCCAACAAGAGAATGGAAAAACTTGTGACCGCAGAGAAAAGCTGAACTTGCTGTAAGGACTTCCAGTCTTCTAGACTGGCAGGAAATTGACAAGGTTTCTGGAAGTTTTCAGTAAGACAGATAAGTCTGAGGAGCAGGCATTTGCCTTTGAGGTTATCACACTGTGGTCCCTTGTGCGGATAACTACACCTTGCCCCAGTACAGGCTAAAACAACCACAGCTTTCCCTCTAATTTCCCATGACTGAAATATCTTTAATGTTCGTAAAATTAGAAAATGGTTCATAATGCCAAGACAGCTAATTGGACATCTAAAACATAATCTGAAGGTTGTTTATTTTGCATTCGTATTGCCAATTAATGGAGTAATTTCCTTTTAAATTACCTCTTGTTTAGAATCCAGCAAAGTATTTCCCTCTAGATGATGCTCTGTTTTCACTGTGGGTTTCTTTATTTTCCACACTCTTTAAGAACTTTAAAACAAAGGAGAGTGCACGGCTCATTCTAAATGCCCTTCCTGTCCCCACAGATGGCACATGCTCACAGGCACTTATCACATGATTGACTTCTAGTGCTCTTGAGCTAATAATGTAACAAATTAATAAGCATTTATTATTTTCCCCTGAAGCAGCTCACTGTGCACCTGTGCCATAGAACTTAAGCAATTCCGTTGCTTCTCCGTAGGAAGCGGGATTATTGTCCCTCTGACGCTACACAGCATACATATCTCTCGGGGTTATTTTTCAGTATAAAATATCAGCTAGCACCAACCTTTATTTTTAAGGTTTGGATTCTTTTTCCTTGAGATTATTTTTGGATGGATTTTGTTACCTTATAATCAGGAATAAAATAATCCTCGGCAAACCACCAGATGACTGCACCGATATCAATGTCTCTGCCATCCCCAGGGGTGCACTCCTACCTTTCCTTTGTTTTTTTTTTTTCCCAGCCTGGACTGGAAGCCCATGTCAGGGCCTCTCGCATACAGGGTAGCACTCTCCCATGGAGTATCTACCTTCTTTCAGCCTGGGCTGGGAGCCCATGTCAGGGCCTTTCGCATACAGGGTAGCACTGGTGCTTTCTGCTTGGATCCCGGGGAATTCGGCCTGACAATTCTGCTTTCTACAGGCAGGCAGCCACATTCAGACCCTGATGGGGTCACAGAGCCTTCAACACCGCAGTCGGGAGCAGCAGCCATATGAGGGGAACATCAACAAGGTGACCATCCAACAGTTCCAATCACCGTTGCCCATCCAGATCCCTTCGTCGCAGGCCTCCCGGGGACCTCAGCCTGGACGGTGCTTAATACAAACGAAAGGGCAGAGGAGTATGGACGGCTATCCTGAGCAGGTAAGGGGGCTCTCGTAACAGTCAGTGGACATTCAGGAGTTAAAACAACTCCACGCTGCACAGTGGTCCTCGACACACAATGTTCTTCATAGGGATTGATCGTTGCTGCCAGAGGTTGGGGACAATGACACACTGGTAAAATGCCCTTTTATATGCAAAATACAATGATTTTCCAGTCCTGTCCTTCCTTCCCACTGCCCATTCCAATTCAACACCAGTTTTGAGTGTGATAAAGAACCTCTGTGGATGGGGTATGTTGACTAAGGTCCCTAGTGAAATAGAGGGTCTTAAAGATGAACTGCTATCCCATCTTCATTTTCAGAAAAACATTTTTAGTTCTATTTTCTCATTGTTAAATACATCAGAGTATAGAAAACCCTAAAGAATCATTAGAAGAGAAATTTTTTTAATGTTCCGGAAGCTACTGATTAATGTGATGTATCAAAATCATAATGATGAGTACTGTTCTCCTGTCCTGACTAGAATCGGGACTTGCTCTCCACTGCAGAATGTTCTCCTTCCTTGAGACTACAAAAGATTTCACCCGATGGAAGCTTGAGGAGGAGACAACACAATCTAGCACATGCAATTAATACTTCTTACTTCATTGTTTGGATTATTAGGCAAAGTTCCATGGCATTATTCGCCCCTCACACGGCTTGTAAAGGTTCCATGCTGCTGTTGCTTCTCCAAAGCTTTACCTGGGAGACAACTATCTCTTCTACACACCAGCCAACATTAACTTCTTTCTCCAGGTTTTTCACTGTATGTTGCTCAGAGCCATTTATCATGGGGATCCTAGATGCTTCAAGCATTGTCTCTTTGTTACATCTGCCCTGTATCAATCATTCTCAGAATCACAGAAGCTCAAAAAAATTCTCTTTCACTTTCCCTAATCCAGGCCACATGTTGGGTTTCATGTGTAACAAGCCAGGCAGGCTCCTGTAGTCAGAAAATGATGAACAGCTACTGACTCTTCAGAGAGTCTAAAAAGTTAATGAGGTTTAAATTATGGTCTAACAAAGGCTGTGTTCATATCTGACTCCACAAGAAAAACTACCCTCACCCAGTTATCTGATTCAGCTGTTCCTGTTACTACCTACATGGGCTGTTGTTTGGTTTGGTTTGTATTTTGGCCTTTCTCCCCAAATCACGGCCTTATTACCACAGGAATTTAGTTTGCAATATTGTGATTGCTTCAGAAAAAGAATCTAGAGTAGCTTTTCAGTTTGGTTCCATAGCTTTGATAAACCTGATGCCTACAGAGAGATAGTGATTTTTGTTGTTGTTTTGTTTGTATGTGTTTTGTTTGTTTGTTTGTTTGGTTGGTTGGTTGGGGAGGTTCAAGACAGGGTTTCTCTGTAGCTTTGGATGGAGCCTGTCCTGGAACTAGCTCTTGTAGATCAGGATGACCTTGAACTCACAGAGATTTGCCTGCCTCTGCCTCCCAAGTGCTGGGATTAAAGGCATGTGCTACCACCATCCGGCTCAGAGAGGTATTGTTAATGGACTTAAATTCAATCCTTTGCCTTCTTGGCTTTTTGCCTTGGTCTTGGATTGAAACGGCTCAGAATGCTAAGGTCAGAGCTACAGTGACAGTAATGGCTTCAAAGCCTTTAAACAAGTAGACCTGGTTCCAAAACACAGTCCTCTGCCCCCTTACAGTCCTAGGAACCGTACATTATCCTGCTGGCCTTTACTGTGCAGTGCTGGGAAATGCAGATGGCTGGCCACTGTGACTACCTCCTCCCAGCTCCTCCTGAGGGGACATGCCATCAAAAAGCTGACATTTCAGCAGTAACTAAACCACAAGACCAGCAAGCACCACCAAGCGGAGTGTGCTGCGCCTGATCAGCCACGAGACTCGCTCTGAACATGACTATTTCTACACCGCTTCTCCCTTATTTCTTTTTCCATAACCTCTGTTCTTCCTCATGAAGCTCTGACATTTGAGAAAGATCACCAAGCCAGGGGCTTAGAATCTGAGATTCTTCTTTTACTATAATGAGCCATGTGACCCTGGCCAAGTCAGTTACTCCTTCTAAGTTTCTGTTTCTTTCTTTAAAATGAAAACAATACCACCTGTCAACAACTTTTGGATGGTTTTGGTGAAGACCAGGAGGTGGCTCAGTGTGTATAGAATGAGGAAGTATCAACACCTGAGTTCTAGAGATAGAGCCCAAGTAAATTCTACACGTGATTGTAACTGTGATTCTATTGCTGTGGAGACACACCATAACAACGGCAACTTTTATAATGGAAAACATTTAACTGAGGTGACCTGCAGTTTCAGAGGGTCACTGCATTATCATCGTGGTGTGATGTGGTGGCATGTAGGCAGACATGGTGGCCTGTTGGCAGACATGGTGCTGAAGAAGCAGCTGAGAATTCTACATCCTGCAAGTAATAGGAAGTTGACTGTGACACTGGACAGTATCTTGAGCATAGGAGACCTCAAAGCTTGCCCCACAATGACACACTTCCTCCAACAAGGCCATACCCACTCCAACAGCCACACCTCTTGATAGTGCCACTCCCCTTGGGAGCCATTTTCTTTCAGACCACCACAGACACCCTTGTGATACCAGAGCTGGGGAGGGAGATCCCAGAGAATCCATAGTTCTCACTGGCTAATTAGGATTCCTCACTGAGTTTCAGGTAGACCCTGAATAGTAAGAAAACCCTAAGGAACTACTCACAAGATTAGCTAACTCCATGCCACTCTGTGCATGGACAACTTACATATGCACCCTGAATACACACATGCTTCCCCCCACATATTCACATGTGCCCCTAAAAGGTGGTGTGAGAGTTAAATGATGGAGTTTTATGCAGTCAACCATAGGACTTCTCTGAGAGGGGAGAAGTGGAAAAGAGAAAGAATGGGCATAAAAGTTTTTAAGAATTAAAATGTTTGAAAGAAAGAAAGAAAGATAATGGTTATCAATCCCAACCTTCTTTGTCTACAAAAAAGAAGCCAGAACTAGACATTGTTGGGCTTGTGTGAAATGCCACAGCATTTAAACGTCCTCAGTATTTGTTGCTCTTATCTCTTGTCTTCCCCACCATAATATTGTGCATCAGGCGTTCTTAATCTCATCTGCATATTTGAAGTTGGTCTGGGGCTCTTCAGCAAACACTGACACCATGGCCTCCTTTCCAGGTCAACTTATTTCATTCATCTACCCGTGACCCTGGGTAATGGGAATTTTTGTGAGCTCCTCATTGAGTCTGCGCAGTACACTTGAGAGTCACTGCTGAGGTACTCTGTGAACCAGCAGAGCCCCGGCTGGGCAATGGACTGATGTCTACGCAGTCCACTTGAGAGTCACTGCTGAGGTACTCTGTGAACCAGCAAAGCCCCGGCTGGGCAATGGACTGATGTCACCACTATCTAGAAGTCACAAATTGAATATTTTTAAATAAACTGATAGCATCTTTTATCTTTCTTTATGCACATTAGTAATCCAAGGCATAATGTGTTTACATAATGTAGGAGAGAGAAGAAAACCTCAGGGCAATGCTAAAGACCTCCCAAAACCCCTCAGGAATTCACTGGTACAGTTCAGCTCACAGTTCTGTGAACCAGGTTACCAGCATATATGTTATTGAATAAGGCTAAGAGTAACAAGACTCCTTGACTATGACAACATAGCAGCTTAGAAGTCAACCTGGAATCAGGATCTGTTTTGTGAGTTTTTGTATTCTATATTGTGGCTTGAAGCACGTGTCTTTTAATCTAAAAAAAAAAAATCTGAATTTTTCTTTTATTTTCTCGCAGACGGCAAGCAAGCAAAGACTTACTGAGAACTACATGAGAGTCCTGAAAATGTTTTGCCCCGTATTTTTGTTACATATACTAATTGTATATATTAGCAGGGTTCAGACACATACTTCACTAACATAATATGGCCTCCTTTATCCCCCTCCACCCTCCCAATACTCAACCTCTAGAAATCACTGTTCCGTGTTCATGTTGATTGTTTTAGAGTCCCAAGATATGAAAGAAAACATGCTGTGCTCATCTTCCCATCTCTGGCTTATTTCACTTAGCATGAGGTTGTCTAGTTCTACCCACCTTGCTACAAGTGTCATGGTTCCATTCTGCAGGGTCCAGTAACATTCCACTGTGTGTAACTGTGAGTCTCCTACTTTCTTTGTCTGTCCATCCAGACATAACTCTGTGGTAAGCATGGGTGTGCAGGCTTCTCTCTGGTGTGATGGGTGCACTTCATTAGGCTACATTCCAAGAAGGGAACAGGGACAGCTAAATCAGAGGACAGAGACTTCACTCTGATCTCTGTAATGTAATAAATTATATATATATATATATATTACACATTACGTTATATATATATAATTATGTGTATATATATATATATATATATATATATATATATATACTACACATGGCCCAAGAGCGTCTCTGTTCCTACCACGATTTATTAGTTTGTTGTTGTTTATAGCCACTATTCTTATGAGAATGAGGTGGTACTTCCTTGCAGCTTTTGCAACGTCATACATAGTTTAACAGACTTTTCAAACCTTTCTTCTTATGTCATTCTACATGATACAGCTTTCTTCAGCCAGCCCAACAGCTGAAAATCTCCCCTGAAGTCTCACATGCACTTCCAGCAGCTGATAACAGAGCGGCCGAAGGAAAGAAAAGTCTGAGATCACCTTCTCTCAGCACTCTGTATCATGAAATCATTTTTCAGGACAGCTCACAACCTTTCATCATAAGATGATTATACCTCTGCTTCTCCTGGCTGCTAAGTACTGGAGTGACCCAGAATCCAGCCTTTCTATCCACACCATCCTCTAAATGACAGCATTCAGTGGTGGATGGTTCTCAACTCTCTATCCCCAGCCCTGGCCCTCCCTCCTTCACTCCAGCTGTCTGAACACACTGGCTGAGCTTTCTTCTTTTTTCTCCACCTGAGTTTTTCAAGTGCTTGACAATCATGGTTGAAAGAACTGTTAACTTTCTGCCCCTGATTTTTCTCTATTTCCAGACTTCCACATCCCATTCAAGGACCTTCTACTCATCATTCTTCTACGACCAAAAGTGTCTGGTTCTCCTTTCTCTCAACCCACCTCCAATCAAAACACCTCTATCAGGAACATCCTAAATTTCACACCTTCCTCACCACTCACACTCCCGACTCTGACTACTTCTGAAGCTTCCTAAATGCTCTCTTTCCTCCGCACCTCACTCTGATCTGTTCTTCTGCCAGAATTATCTTTTCAGAATGATAGCCATACCATGTCACTCCTCAATTCAAAATGATTTATTGGTTTCCTTGATGGCTGGATAAGTTTTTTACAGGATAGTTTCATGTCTCCTGCTCACACAATTATAGAATAGTATAACGTTCCTATGGGTCTAGCTCCTAGTCACATTGCCTTCTCTGCCTCACTGAGTTGTCTTTTAATCATGATGACCTTGCTGTTTTTAATTACAATATAGATATAATTTACATCCTACAAACTGGAGTATTTGAAGTAGACAAGTTGCATACTAATATTTATATGGTTGGGTGTCTATCATTGTAATATAATTTTAGAACCTTCTCACTCTGAAAGGAAACCCTTAGCATTGACTGTCCATGCTCCCTCCCTTCAGCTCTAGATGATTGCTCACCTGCCTCGACTCTACGAGCTGTCTCTTGTTGACACTGCATCTCTTGACGCTTGTCTTCACCTAGCCTTCTGTGCTCTGGAAGCAGATTTCTCTAAGACTCACTGTTCTAATTACAGTGATATCAACGCAGTCCAGAAGTGTCCAGTCAAGCAGCTTGCAGGGGGAAGGTTGAGTCTCACAGCCCCACTGCTGACTGAGCTGAAGCTGTGCCTTAGACAGACATTTCGTTTTGTCCCTTAAGAGAAAATTGAAATACTGATTTTCACTACATAAGTCATTTATGAACTTTTGGGACCTTTGCAAAATCATTGTATCCCAGATCCTTTCAGCCTCTCTGGCCTGTGAGGTTCTCTCTCTCCTCTTTGGGCCTCAGCAGGCAGGTGACACACCTCACCACAAGAGAAGTTTTTCCTCCCACGGTCTTGAGGAGACCTCAGACCCCTATTTTTCTGACACACATGATCATCCTGGGAAATCACAAGTGAAGTCTGTTTGTCACGTTTATGAAGCAAGTGTCACCTTTATTGTGTCTGTCGTTAAAAATGTATTGAGACAGCTCTTCCCAGACCTGGCACCAGCCGCTCTGGTTTTCCTTAGCTTTCTAGTACATTCTAGATTTTCAGTAATACAAATTGAATCTAATCAATTCCTTGACTGGAATCTACTTGGAAATTTTCTACATAAAGGAAATTGGTCCTATAGTTCCCAGTTCTGTAGCGACCTGAGGGAAGTCAGTAAGCACACCGCCCATGCTGTTTGTTTCCACAAAAGATAGAACCAGATTTGTTGTTATACAAAGAGATACATGTGTGTGTTGCCCACGTGTACATTCATGAGTGTGTATTGTGTGCATTTCCATGTGTATGTGTGAGTGTGTATGTGTGAGTTTGCGTGTCCGTGTACTTCATCGTACAAAGTTCTGGGGTTTCACTACAGCATTTTCATATAAGAATATAATATACCTGCAGCGTTAACCTCTCTTTCCCTTTTCCTACCTTGCCATGACTCCTCTTCTTCCCTTAGACCAGTGGTTCTCAATCACCCTAGTACTGCAACTTTAACACAGTTTCTCATGTTGTGACCCCCCACCACAAAGTTATTTTGTTGCTACTTCATAACTGTAGTTTTCCTACTATTATGAATAATAATATAAATATCTGTGTTTTCTGATGGTCTTAGGTGACCCCTATGAAAGGATTGGTTGAACCCCCCAAAGGGGTCACAACCCACTTCTTCCTTATAAGGTTCTTCATCTACCTTCATTTCATATTACACACACAACTTATGTGTCTATATAAAATCTAGGATCCATAAATGAGAGAAAATGTGCTATTAGATTTTTTAGACTGACTCAACTTGCTTAATTTGACATTTGAAAATGCATGAATCTGTGAGCAAAGACAAAAGGAGAGATTTTAATTACATGGGATGCTTTCTTGTCATTTTCTAATTAATAAATAAAAGCCAAGAGGCAAAGCGCTACATAGAATAAAGCTACAATATTCCCTCCAGCTGCATCAGGCTATTCTATGTTCATCCTCACAGGCTGCGAGGCATGTAAATTACAGACTATTATAAACTACCTTTGGCTACCCTGTGAAAACTAGTTTTAACAAGTCTACATCAGTTGAAGGAGAAGTTGTAATTAAGTGTATTTTTTAAGTGACTGAAAAAGTACTGTTGGCAATTGCACTTACAGGTAATTTAGAAATTATTCGCTGATGAATTAAAATTAGAAACCACAATAGTGGGTGGGTTTTTGCTCCTGTGTTGCACATGAACCCAAAGACAGTTAGATGCATTTTAGGAATGAGAACAGCCCACTAAGGATGCTGCTACTAAGGAATATTAGTTCATCCGAAGTCTGGTAACTCAAGTGCATGTTAAGTATAAAATGTGATTCATGTTTTCTTTGAACTATCTAAGAGGAGAGACTAGACGTGTGTTTAAAATAGAAGGATAGAAAGTGCTTAGGGCATTCACATTTAACCGGGTTCAGAGGCTGAATGAGTAATAGCCAGAGGCATAAGGTTGCTTAACCAGCCAACAGGTCAGTCTTCTTAGGAACTTTTCCTTTGTGTGTTTATTTAAATACAAAGCATATGCCAGTGTGGTTTTCATCATTTTTTTTTCTTGACCTGTCAGTCAGCTCACTGTTGCCCTCTGGTGCCTCTGGGTTCCCCTGCTGCCAGCACTTGTTCTGTACCTAACATTTGTGAGTCTCTTTTCTCTTCGTTTAACAATGAAATGCTGCCTCTTAGTCCAAGACGGTCACCATCTGGGGACCCCTGTCCCACCCTCAGCACAGAACCCCAGATCTCACCTGTTGAGGTTGCTCAGGTCATCCTGATGACTTCCTGTCTGTGAAATCTCTCCCAGTGAACATTAACAAAACGTTTTGTTCCATTTCACTGCAGCCACAGCATACAGTAGACCATCCATTTGATGCTCTTGTTCCTGGGATTGCCCATCAGAATGCTAGACTAAATTCCCCACACCCATGAGACTCCTCAGTCTCTGTCTTGTGGACCACACTCTCTAACCTTGTGTCTGTTGAGGTTTGCCTTCTAGTCTTCCAGCTCCTGCCTCAGCAGCTGCTACAAAACTCAGCCCCCATTTCCCTCAAACTAAAAACCCTAACAACCCTACCACTACGGTAACACTAGCCGTAACACAACCATGCCTTCCATATTTAAATTGCTGTCTCTGCTTCCTCTCACTTGTCTGTATTTTTCCTAAGTAGTCTAGACATAGTCTGGACATGTGTGTAGTCTAGACATAATCTAGATGTGTTTAGAGTGGCAGAGACTGCTTCACCTCCAGTGTGCTCATGAGGCCTGGGTTTCTCAAGGTAGCTCCTGACGTATGGAGGCATAGAGAGTCATTACCCCTTTGGTGGAGTTTATGTTGTTTACCCCCATCAACAGGGTCTCACTAAAAATATGAGTAAATTGTAAACCTTGTTTGAAGCATTTACTTGTAATGGCTACTTGGTTTGACTTTTCATATCTTCTTTCTTAGTTCTGTGTGAGAATAGAAAAGAACCCTGGACTTGGATTTAGTATCAGCGGTGGAATTAGTGGGCAAGGAAATCCTTTCAAACCTTCCGACAAGGTAAGTGAAGTCCTTCTTGACAATTTTAATTTCGAAATGCTGCCTTCCACTGTTGCACTGAGCTGATGTAGCTAACGATGAAGCCAGTCAGGAAGAAAAACATGTCTGAATAGGGAATAACAAGCGTAGTGCTTGCCAGAAATGAAATGAGAGGAACAAATAGCCTATTTGAGAAGAAAGGGGTTTGGGGTACCATTCTCATGGTTGGTTTTCATGGAGATATTTTTGGCCTCTTTGTTTTGACTTTACAGTTGTGTGTGGTAAAGAAATCTATCTAAGCAATTTATAAGAGAAATGTTCCAAAGACTTATTTGTGAATTGCTCACTTGTTGTTTAGGACAATGTTTTCTTATAGTGACAAAATGATCCCACTTTGACTGGGTGTTTGGGCCAGCCAGCAGTTGACTCTGATCTACAAGACTCATTGGGTGTTCAGGGCAGCCAGCAGCTAACCCTGATCTACCAGACAGGTTGCGTGTTTGGGCCAACCAGCAGCTGACCCTGATCTACAAGACTGGTTGGGTGTTCGGGCCAGCCAGCAGCTGATCCTGATCTACCAGACTTGCAGACAGTTTCATTAGCAGAAATTTTGGAAATGAAAAATCACAGAAAGCAAAATTTATAAGAAAATTAAAGTTGCATTATCAGAAGAACCAGACCCCCATCTCGTTGGATAAATGAGTACTCTTCCTAGTTCCATTTGGGCCCCTATCTCCCAGCAGGCCAGCTGGGACATACCATCTACCTTCCTACCTAGCTAGCCTGCCCTACTACTATTAGTGCTTAACAATCTTATATTGAAACCAATGTGGATGGATTCATTGACAATTAAAATGATCTACCTTTGGTCTCACCAAACTGAATTACCTTAAGTGACTACATCAGGTCTAGACTTTTCATTTCACTGTTATTACAGAAGTGCTCACAGGACACTTTCTGAAAATAAAATCTACTTCTGAAGAAAACTTGAATGCGGGACAGAGGAGGTGGCTCAGTGGTTAAAGTACTAGCCTTGCAAGCCTGTAGTACAGAGTTTGGATTCCCAGAACCCACATAAAAGCCAGTAGGCATCACAGCTAGCCTGTAATCCCCAGTGCAAGAAGCAGAGACAAGTTAACCTAGAGCAAACTGCTACTGGGAGCTGAATTTGAAAACTCCTGGTTCAAGGGTGAGACCCTGAATTAATACATAAAGTGAGGTGATCAAGGAAGAAATTCAAAGTCAACCAACCTAACAGGTACATGTATACAAATGTGGCCTACACAGAAGAAACATACACACAACAAACAAACACACACACACGCACACACACACACACACACACACACACACACAGAGACTGCTCCTATATGGCTATTTCTAAAGCCTGAAACAGGACCTTCATCCCATATTTTTTTCTAACCTTCTTCTCAGCCACCATACTCCCTCCTGCTAGAGAAAATAGAAAAGGTTAGAATTCTTGACATGGTGACGTGTATCGGGAAAGATGTATAACAGTTTCCAGTCACGATAAGTGGAAAGACCCTTGGCCAGCAAGCTGTAGCAGCTACCTCCATGAAGGTCTGAGCATGAGGCAGGAGTACAGCATTGAACACACTGGTCCGCCTGGATTGACATTTTTTATATGATGCTGACTTATAAAGTTAAGGTAGTTGATGATATAGTTAAGGCAACCTCTTATTTAATTTCATAAATTAACAACAAAATTTCAAACCATCAGATACATGTATGATGCATTATTTAAACTCCATGCCCTCATATCTTATTCATCTTGATCCTCTCTTTTTAATTCTTTATTGGTGTATAGTTGTTATATAAAAAGAAGAATTTCGATATCACTCTCCTGGTCCCCCTTCCCACCCTGTTAGTTCCCTTGTTCTTCCCAAACACTTCCCTTCTATTTTTGTATCATACACATTATGTGTATGGAAAACATATAACTTGCGGTTATACATATGAGAAAGCATGTACATGTTTGTCTTTCTGACTCTTATTCCTTTAATTATGTGATCTCCAGTTCCATCCACTTTGCTGCAAATGAGATGATTTCATTCTTTACAGCTGAATAAATAAATCTCTATTATGGGGGTGGGGAGAGATCTGTCCATCATCTGTCAATGGACAGCTGGGCTGATTCACAATGTTTCTGTGAAAAATGCCACGGAGAATACACGTGTGCAAATATCTTTGTGTTGTGCTAATGGCCCTTCAGATGTAGTCCCAGGTGTGACACAGCTGGGTCGTGATCTAGCTCTGCGTTGGGTTTTGTTTTTTAAAGGAATCTCTATCTTGACTTTCCTGGTGGATTCGTTGCTGAGGGCATGTTTAATTTTCAGGCCTTTCTACATGTGGCTATTAAACCTCTGTCAGAGGTGTTGGCAAAGACTTGCTCTGTTCTAAAGGATGTCTCCTCTCACTTGTTATTGCCTCTCCTGTGAAGAAGCTTTAGATTTCGTGTGACATCACTTGTCATTCCTCAGTTCCATCTCCTGTGTGATTGAAGCCCTACCCAGAAGGACCTCACCTGTGCCCATCGGAAGAGTTTCCACTGTGTTCCCACTGTTTCAAAGTTTCAGTTCTTACACTAAGGTCTTTGACCCACTTTCAGTTTATTTCTTTCACAGTGAAAGATAATGGGCCTCGTTTCACATTCTGTGTGTGATGCCCAGTTAACTCAGGACCATTTATTACAGAGTCTTTCTCCAGGGGACTTCCTGGCACCTTTGACAGTAGTTGTGTGGCTGACCACTCTTCTTGCCTTTGGCCTCATATCCTTTCCCTGAGTGGACTCCCTGACCATCCTTCAGGGGGCTGCCATTCAAGAGATGCGCTTTTCTCCTTTCTCTCAGCACAGGAAATTTCTCACCCTACTTTTGGAAGATAGACAATAAGGTTTTTAAATTAAGAATGAACTCATTGCTGAATAGGGTGTTAGAATAATGTTTCATGTCTGCTGTCTCTAAGTGCAAAGCCTGAGAACGTAGCCTTCAGCATCATTCCCTTCTGCCATGGTGACTACAAAACTCTTATTTATTTATTTATTTATTTATTTATTTATTTAAGATTTCTGCCTCCTCCCCACCACCGCCTCCCATTTCCCTCCCCCTCCCCCGATCAAGTCCCCCTCCCTCGAAGAGCAATCAGGATTCCCTGCCCTGTGGGAACTCCAAGGACCACCCACCTCCATCCAAGTCTAGTAAGGTGAGCATCCAAACTGCCTAGGCTCCCACAAAGCCAGTACATGCAGTAGGATCAAAAACCCATTGCCATTGTTCTTGAGTTCTCAGTAGTCCTCATTGTCTGCTATGTTCAGTGAGTCCAGTTTTATCCCATGCTTTTTCAGACCCAAGCCAGCTGGCCTTGGTGAGTTCCTGATAGAACATCCCCATTGTCTCAGTGTGTGGGTGCACCCCTCACGGTCCTGAGTTCCTTGCTCGTGCTCTCTCTCCTTCTGCTCCTGATTTGGACCTTGAGATTTCAGTCCGGTGCTCCTATGTGGGTCTCTGTCTCCTTTCATCGCCTGATGAAGGTTAATATTCAGGAGGATGCCTATATGTTTTTCTTTGGGTTCACCTTCTTATTTAGCTTCTCTAGGATAACGAATTATAAGCTCAATGTCCTTTATTTATGGCTAGAAACCAAATATGAGTGAGTACATCCCATGTTCCTCTTATTGGGTCTGGCTTACCTCACTCAGGATAGTGTTTTCTATTTCCATCCATTTGTATGCAAATTTCAAGAAGTCATTGTTTTTTACTGCTGAGTAGTACTCTAATGTGTATATATTCCATACTTTCTTCATCCATTCTTCCATTGAAGGGCATCTAGGTTGTTTCCAGGTTCTGGCTATTACAAACAATGCTGCTATGAACATAGTTGAGCATATACTTTTGTTGTATCATAGGGCATCTCTTGGGTACATTCCCAAGAGTGGTATTGCTGGGTCCAGGGGTAAGTTGATCCCGAATTTCCTGAGAAACCGCCACACTGCTTTCCAAAGTGGTTGCACAAGTTTGCATTCCCACAAGCAATGGATGAATGACTACAAAACTCTTACATTCATTTAATTGTTGTTTGGGTGGCTTTACTGAGACGTAACTGTGTCTGTGATCTTGTAACTCTTCCGGATAAATGTCGCAGATAGAGAGTTTGGATTGTTTCATGCGGCTGTTGAAGGATTCTTCCCTGAAAGTACTGTTCTTTGCCTGATTACACTTTAAACCATTTTGCAGTCTAAATCGTGCATCTCTGTTATTGCAGAACTGATGGGAGTAGCCAGAATTTCAAATCTACAGAACATTGTTCAAGTTAGTAATACTTTCCTTGGAAATCTAAACTTGTCATGGATTTCTGATTAACAACATCCAAATGGTCTAAAGATGTTGACGCCAACAATTTACACAGGAATTTAGTCTGCTCCCTGTGGGGAGAGTTCCATGTCTGCATCACCCGGTTTCCCTTCCTCAGCCTCATGCTCCATGTTGATAGAGACTGCTGGGTTCAGCAGTACATTTTTCTAATCCCAGCACTGGGGAAGGGGAGGCAGACAGAAACCCAGAGCTGATAGCCAGTTACCATAGCTTATTTGGAAGCTGCAGGCCATGAAAGAGCCCATCTCAACAAAAGATGGTGGGTTGCATGAGGAATGAATGACATCTGAGGTAGTCTAGCCTTCATGCGCACATCTACACATATGCATTTCATATGTACATGATGCTCAAACGTGCACATACACACGGTGTGGGGGGACTTATACTTACCTCTGAAAACTAATAGTGAAAGGATGAAAATACACTAACATATTCTTTTCTACCATGTTGAAAAAGAAATTACCTTTTCATTAGTGGACTAATTCACAGCTGAAGAGGAAAGGTACCAAATTAAGTAGCAATTTAAATTCAACAGATACTGCCTGAGTCTGAAGTAGCCATGTCATAGAGACTCTAGTCTGCAGGGTAACACATGCTCCCTTCCAGTGAACAAATCATTCTTTATCTATA